CAAGCCTGGTACAAGGGAAACACAGAAAACGAGGAGTAATACCTGTAACAGGTAGCCATACACCTCCCCCACCCTATCCTCCCCCCCCCCTACCTACCAACCAATAGGCTACGAGCCTCACCTTCATCTAGTTAAAACCCCTCCTAAATATCGTAGCTAGAAACAACCTACTTAGATACTTGTAGGCCTAAAAACCCTACACGTCTTATATAGCCCTTCGGGCTGAAAAAGGACGTTAAACTAGAATAATAATAATAATAATAATAAGCACCCGGATTCTGTGATCCGGGCCGATTAGAACCGAGCGCCAAGGTCTACCCCTAGGCAGGGCTAATACTCAGCCGCTTACCTGATACAAAAAGCAATAGCGATAGCGCTTATAAGGCGGCGCGCTGACGCGCCGCTAGAGACAGAGATAGAGCAATTAATACGATCAGTTTCTACTATTAAGTTAATCACAGTCCTTTATTATAGTGATCTAAATCAATCCTTAATTAGAAAAAACCCTTATAGTCTGACAATTAAGAGTCTCACTGCCTCTACTAACCTAAAACTATCTTAACTAATTAATTAAATCCGCAATAGTGCTGCTACTAAGCCAATCAACATAAACGCCCAATCTACTCCAATTAACGCGATAGTTATCCTACGCGACGGAAACGACTACCGCACCTGGTATAACCAGCTGCAAGCCCAATGCGAAGCCTATAAAGTATGGGCCCAAGTCAACCTAGACTCAATTATTACACCACTAGTGGAGCCAACTTAGCTAATGCTCCCTGATATCTCTAAGTATACACCTTCATCAGCGCTGGGAGAAGGAGGAGTGCTAGCTCGACTATCTGATCTATCCTTATTAGGGTAGAGAGCCTATAAGGACGATCTTGAAGTCTATAAGCTTTAAATAGAGAGCTATAAGCTAAAATACGCTGCATACAAGACCGAGTTAGCCAGCCTACAGCACATAGTAGTGCTGATTCAGTCCACTGTGGCGCCATATCTCCAGCGCACCTGCTGTCTACCCAGCGAACCACTCAAATAGTGGGTTAAGAACCTAAAGCTAGAGGCTAGGATTGCATCAAAGTTTGAGCAGGAACAAGCTCGTACAAGATACCATAATGCTCTCAAGCCTCCACGTTCAGTGAACGTCTAGGATCTCTAGCTCACTAAATACAGCCAAGCCACATCAGAAGCCAAGATGCTAAAAGTACTAGAGGTATCCTAGATTAATATCATAGCTGCAGACTTCACGTCAGCAGTAAACAAGATGGCCCCTATCTAGGCAGCAACCTTCCAAGCTACTAGAAAGGATTAACCTGGCTTAAGCTAGAAGGACATGATGAGACGGTTTCAAGAATATATGACACTAAATCACCCAGTCACAAGAGGTAGAAGCCAGAAGGCAGCCTTTGTGATAGAAGAATCGTCATACCTCGCTAGTAATTACCAATCTACCCAGCCAGAAGGGGACGCCCAGCAGGCTACTATGGGGAACTCTTAGAGTCGTAAGCGGGGTAGACCCCAGTATCAACGTACAGCTGTGGATGACCAGGATCCCTCACCCAGCTCTATAAATCATCAAAGTCATGGTGGACTAGCAAGCACCGGAGCCAGATCACCGTCTCCAGGAAGCACTAGGCTCATGCCGAGTAAACTGGCAAGCACCGGAGCTAGATCACCGTCGCCAGGAAGCACCGGAGCTCGTAAAATCTCTGCTCCCTGTCCCGCGTGCGACGGGAGCCACCCACTTTACCAGAGATGTCAACAATCAAGCTGAGTCAAGCTCATCAATCAAGCTGGATTGACTCAACGGTCAAGCTGAGTCAAGCCAAGCTCATCAAGCTATATCAAGCTGTATCAAGCTCGTCAAGCTCATCAAGCTGAGCTTGATAGAGCTTGATGAGCTTGATACGCCCGTGCGTAAAAAAAGAAGAATAACTATAAACTCCTTTACGTAGGCTACTAATCTATAGTAACGTTAACTCTTACCTCTATCTCTAATACTATACGTGTCAATTTATTATATATATCTTCTTATCTTACCAATTTCTTAATTACAAGCATGCCACCAAAAAGACGCGTCCAAGCTATTGTTGCTACCCCACCGAAGCGGTCTCAGGGCGTGCCCCGCGGTACTCTAAGCCAGCCTATATCTATCAAAAGCCCGCCATCATCCTCTCGCTTATCACCTCGTCAAGCTCTAGTTGAAGCGTCCCAGGTATCGAGCTTCGAAGCGCGGCTGCGCGAAACGCAGGCTCGAGAAGCTATCATCCCACCCGCTGACGGCAGCGAGGAGGCAACGATAGCTTCTAACGAGCTTGCTAGTATAGGCTTCGACGAACACCTAGTAGACGCCTTCGAAGGTCTTGACTGGGACCACTTTCCTCAGTATATGAAGCCTTTGGCGTCGCAGCGCGGGAAGAAAAGCTGGATATACCTTTATGGCTACCGCGTC